CTGAATGAGATCCTTGCTGGGTAGAGTAATCTTGGTTGTAGGTTTTCCCCTTTCATCACTTTAAATATGTCCTGCCACTCCCTTCTGGCTTGCAGAGTTTCTGCTGAAAGATCAGCTGTTAACCTTATGGTGATTCCCTTGTATGTTATGTGCTGTTTTTCCCTTGCTGCTTTTAATATTTTTTCTGAGTGTTTAATTTTTGATAGTTTGATTAATATGTGTTTTGTCATGTTTCTCTTTGGATTTATCTTGTATGGGACTCTCTGTGCTTACTGGACTTGATAGCTTATTTCCTTTCCCATATTAGGGAAGCTTTCAACTACAATTCCTTCAAATATTTTCTGTGTCTTTCTTTTTCTATTGTTCTTATGGGACCCTATAATTGGAATGTTGGTGTGTTTAATGTTGTCCCAGAGGTCTCTGAGACTGTCTTCAATGATTTTCATTCTTTTTTCTTTATTCTTCTCTGAGGTAGTTATTTCCACCATTTTATCTTCCAGGTCACTTATCGGTTCTTCTGTCTCAGTTATTCTGCTATTGATTCCTTCTAGAAAATTTTAAATTTCATTTTTTTGTGTTTTTCGTAATTATTTGTTTGCTCTTTGGTTCTTCTAGGTCCTTGTTAAATGTTTCTTGTATTTTCTCCATTCTATTTCCAGGATTTTGGAATATCTTTACTATCATCACTCTGAATTCTTTTTCAGGTAGACTGCCTATTTCCTCTTCATTTGTTTGGTCTTGTGGGTTTTTACTTTGCTCCTTTATCTGCTGTGTATTTCTCTGTCTTCTCATTTTGCTTAACTTACTGTGGTTGGGGTCTCCTTTTTGCAGGCTTCAGGTTCATAGTTCCCATTGTTTTTGATGTCCACCCCCAGTGGGTGTGGTTGGTTCAGTGGGCTGTGTAGGCTTCCTGGTGGAGGGGACTGGTGCCTGTGCTCTGGTATATGTGGCTGGATCTTGTCTTTCTGGTGGGAAGAACTGTGTCCAGTAGTGTGTTTTGGGGTGTCTGTGAATTTATTATGGTTTTAGGCACCCTCTATGCTAATGGATGGGGTTGTGTTCCTATATTGTTACTTGTTTGGCATGGGGTATCCAACACTGGAGCTTGCTGGTGATTGAGTGGAGCTGTTCTTAGCATTGAGATGGAGATCTCTGTGAGAGCTCTCACTGATTGATATTACATGGGGCTGGGAGGTCTCTGGTGGTCCAATGCCCTGAACTCGGCTCTCCCACCTCAGAGGCTCAGGCCTGATAGCCAGCCAGATCACCAAGACCCTGTCAGCCACGCAGCTCAGAAGAAAAGGGAGAAAAAAAAGAGAGAAAGAAAAAATAATAAAATAATTAAAATAAAATATTAAAAAATTATTTTAAAAATAATAAAAAATTTAAAAAGTAATTAAAAAAATGAAGAGAGCAACCAGATCAATAAACAAATCCACCAATGATAACAAGCGCTAAGAACTATACTGAGATAAACATAAAAGTCAGAAAGAAAAGAGTCACAGACAGCAAACCACAAGTCTACAGTTGCCCCCAAAGTCCACCACCTCAATTTTGGGATGATTCATTGTCTATTCAGGTATTCCACAGATGCAGCATACCTCAAGTTGATTGTGGAGATTTAATCAGCTGCTCCTGAGGCTTCTGGGAGATATTTCCCTTTCCCTTCTTTGTTCGCACAGCTCTTGGGGTTCAGCTTTGGATTTGGCCCCTCCTCCGCATGTAGGTTGCCCTCTGGCATCTTTTCTTTGCCCAGACAGAAGGGGGTTAAAGGAGCGGCTGATTAGGGGGCTCTGGCTCACTCAGGCCAGGGGGAGGGATGGGTACGTAATGCGGGGTGAGCCTGCGGTGGCAGAGGCCAGCGTGATGTTGCAATAGCCTGAGGCATGCCGTGTGTTCTTCGGGGGAAATTGTCCCTGGATTATGGGACCCTGGCAGTGGTGGGCTGCACAGGCTCCTGGGAGGGGAGATGTGGATAGTGACCTGTGCTTGCACACAGGCTTCTTGGTGGCTGTAGCAGCGATCTTAGCGTTTCATGCCCGTCTCTGGTGTCTGCAATGATAGCCGTGGTTCGTGCCTGTCTCTGGAGCTCATTTAGGTGGTGTTCTGAATCCCCTCTCCTCATGCACCCTGAAAAAATTGTCTCTTGACTCTTAGGCAGTTTCAGACTTTTCCCCAGACTTCCTCCTGGCTAGCTGTGGTGCACTAGCCCCCTTCAGGCTGTGTTCACGCAGCCAAACCCAGTCCTCTCCCCGGGGTCTGACTTCTGAAGCTCCAGCCTCAGCTCCCAGCCCCCACCAGCCCCGGCGGGTGGGCAGACAAGCCTCTCAGGCTGGTGAGTGCTGGTCGGCACCGATTTTCTGTGCGGGAATCTCTCCACTTTGCCGTCCGCACCCCTGTGGCTGCGCTCTCCTCCATAGCTCCAAAGCTTCACCCTGCTGCCCACCCTCTCTCTCCACCAGTGAAGGGGCTTCCTAGTGTGTGGAATCTTTTCCTCCTTCACAGCTCCCTCCCACTGGTGCGGTCCTGTCCCTATTCTTTTGTCTCTGTTTTTTCTTTTTTCTTTTGCCCTACCCAGGTACGTGGGGAGTTTCTTGCCTTTTGGGAGGTCTGAGGTCTTCTTCCAGCATTCAGTATGTGTTCTGTAGGAGCTGTTCCACATGTAGATGTATTTTTGATGTATTTGTGGGGAGGAAGTCTTAACTCCTCTGCCATCTTGAAGGTCCTCCAAAAAAATCCTTCTCTAAAGGGCAATTTATGCTGGTTTTATTGAAGTGCTACATACAATTGTTAAACATTTGGAAAATGTCACCTTTGATATTATTTTTCCATAACTTAAATTTATTAATAACATTAATTTTGCTGACTAAGGCCTAAAATCTCCCATACTTTGCTTTGCAATTAATGATGGATTAGGTAAATATAAAATTAAATGTACAAGATTAAAAACCCTCCCATTGAGGTGATGATCAAATTGACCATCATCAAACCAGAACATCATATGAAACTCCAGGGAACAAAAGATGGGAGTATCTCACTGTGGACGCATGCATTCTTCTTATGCATTATCTATCTGTCTCACACTATTCTTCATAACTGGCCACAGTATTTGTTGCAAAATACACATATCTGTTTAAAGTTCCATGTGATTCATTCTTATGTTTTCTATTCTATTTAATTTTCACAAAATGCTGGTTGTGACTCTCCACTAATGGGTTGCAGGCTACAAATCACTCATTAGTCTGCTCAGCAGTCTCCTCACTAAACTGGGACAGAACAACTGCAGAGTCATGCTGAGAAATGGGTTTATGGCTCAGATCATAAGTGAGAATTGACTTCAAATGTTTTAAAAAGATAAATCTGAAAAGCAAAACTTTAATTATTCTTAGGAAAAAAAGTAAATGAAGGATAATATC